TTCGACGTTTTTTTTTTCAATTTTATTTATCGCTTTTCATGTAGGTTTTTATATATTAACGAAAAAAATGTTAACATAAATCAAAAAAACATACAAAAATTAATGTTGCGAAGATAAAATTTCCCGGTAAATTTTGTAATGATTAAAACCAGAGTTGTTTGGCCTTGGCCTTAATCTTAACTTGGCCTTAAGGCCAAAAATTAGGGCCTATGCCTTAGCCTAGGCTAAGGCCTTAAAACTTTTGGCCTAAGCCTTAAAAAGCCTTGGCCTTGATTGTTTTTGCCTTGGCCTTTATAATAAAATACATAAAATTTAAGAAATGAAAATTTTTATTCCTTAATTTACATAATTAATAACGTTAATTACGTAAAATAAAGAATTAATCATTTTTTATTTTACGTAGTTACTTTGTTAACGTAAGGCAAAAATTTAGGTCTTTGGCCTTGAAAATGATTGCGTTGCGTTGGCTTTGAAAATTTTATTCTTTGTCTTGTAACATGTATCCTTGTCCTTGGCGTTGTAACTTTTAGCCTTGGTCTTCGCCTTGTAACATATAACCTTGGCCTTGGTCTTGCTACTTTTGGTCTTGTTAACAATTCTGATTAAAACTAGATTGAAACCATGGCTCTTTTAAAGCTGGAAGCCCTTTTCCATGTCATTAATCAAGTATTTAATTTTCAGAGTTTCTTTTAAAAATAACACTTTGTTTAGAGATTTATTTCAAGAAGAAAGAACATGCGAACTCATTTACATCAAATAAGCAAGGCAATCAATTATTTTAGGTGCCCCAAGATGTTCTAACGTTAAAAACGCACAACGGAGGAGCATCTGAAAAGAAGTTAATGCCTTCTTCTTTCTTCAATGTGTTATTAAATTTGCCCAGAGGAGGCTTTAAACCATTAATCCCTAGTTTCTGAGGCAGGCGCAATAACCATGGCACTACGGCTGTATTCTAGTGGCATTAAGATAGCAAGTATTGATCCAACTCTATTCTCTCTAGTTTTATGCATGAGCTGCATAAACTCAAAAAGATTTACTGTTGTTGGTAAAGGATTTGATTTCTACAAAAATTAAATAAATATACATACATGTATATTTTGGTAACAAAAAACACTTAGATTATTTTTTTTAATGATAAACCTGTTTTTTCGCTAAGCCCAATGTATTTTAATATACAGGTCTATGTGACGCTTTTGTAACACATAATGGGCAAGACAGATTTCTTTTTTTTAAAAAAGAGCTAGTTTAAACTTAGTCTTACAATTGCAATTTAAATATACATAATTATACTAATTAATGTTTCCATATCCATTTGGTGTTGATTTGCAAAAAAGAACAATAAATTCCATTCTAAATCTAACAAAAGATTTTGGTAAAAAATTTAATCTGTTGCGAAAGAATATTTAAAGAGAATGCTAAACTGAAATATTAAGTCACAAAAATAATTTTCAACAATAAGTAAAACTCAATAAAAAAGTTGCGTACTTACAATGAATAATTTTTTTTCAGATATTTAGTCAAAATTTTAATCATTAAAACACTTTCTGTTTTTGTGTAGCAGGTGCTTGTTTCAACTTTCAACTATTTCTTTCTTTTGTATATAAATCTTTCTTTTGTATACTTACGTAATAACTTCTCAATTGCATAAAACTGCACAAAATTGTTATTAGTGAGTAAGACTTCCTATATAATTATATTAATAACTCATAAACGCACTTTTTTCATATTACTTTTAGGGATCGTCCATAAATTGCGCAACGCAAAAAATATTTTAAGAATAGAAGTAGGAGATAATGAGCTCTTTTTCGCGGCAATTTTTATTTAAATTATTTTCTTATTTTCATCATTTATTTAAATAAAGACTCTGCGAGGGAAAACTTGTGATTTTTTTTTGTTTTGTTTATTGTGAATATTTGCGTTACGTAATTTATGGACGATCCCTTACCCATATTCTGTTTTGTTACATTATCTTTGGCTCTACAGTTACAACATTTAATTATTGATATAATTGTTTTAAAGCATTAATTATTATCCAGGATATCAAAAACATTTGCTTACCCATCTTTAAATCTAGCTCATTAAGATCTTCCTCGTTGAAAAAAAAAAAAAAAAAAAAAAATGAAGTAAGAATCAATTCTAATTCTTTTAGTAGAAAGTTACACAATCACACTTATTTATTTAGAGTCAAATATGTTAATTATGCTAATTATTAACGCGTTTTAAGAAATATTAGTGAAATATATATTAAAAAAAGTAAAAAAAACTAATTTAAAAAATAACTATTTTAAATTATATACAAATTAACTATAATCTAGTTATGAATATTTAAATTAGATAAAAACAATAACAAAAATTGGTTAAAAAAAATATATCACGAATTATATGCATAAATTTATCTCAGACCCCTTCAAGACACCAGATTAATGCTTAAAAAGAAAATCCATTATTCTTCTCTTTTTTGGCAAAAGCAACTAAACTTAAAATGAAAATATAAAAAATTAATTCAAATTATTTATAATTTTTTAATATCTAAATTTTTAATGTACTTTAATATAGAACAAGAATAATGTTAACAATAACAAATACTGTATTATATTTAATGTATTATTACAAATAAAGTTATTTAACATTATTTTGTAATTTTAAGTAAAAATAGAACGAAAGTAATCAGAGAACACTAATATCTAATCATAAAAGTTAATTAATAACAATAATTAAATTTCAAATTAAGACTATTTAATAAAAATATTTTATTATAACCATTTATTTCAAAAACCAATAACAAGATTAACAGTTAAGATAACACAGTCTTTAACACAGAATATGGTAAGGAAGACGAATAAGATTTTTGTTAATAATTACCAAGTTGAAAGTAATTAAAAAAGGGATTATGGTCACACAAACTGTCAATAGATATTCATTTAAAAATGTTCTTTGCGATATAAAACTAAATCAGTATTAAATTATTTGCTTGTTTATTTTGCCGTTTAGGAACGTTTAATAACAATTTCAATGCTATACAAATAATTTCTGACTTTTCTATCGCAAGTTCAATGCAAAGACATTCATGGTAAGTAAATTTAGCTTTATTACCTACAACATAAATTCAGCTTTATTACCTGCAGTAGTAACAGTTGTTAAACACTGTTTTAAAAGAAATAGGAAAATAAGTTACACTGATGGCGATAAGCTAGAGTCTTGCAAATATTAATTCAGTTGCTAAACAACGTGTGCAGATCTTTTAAAAAATGAGTTTTTCATCTCATATCAATGAAAGCTCATTTTAACAAAAGTTCCATTTTATATAATAGTTGTAGAAAGGTGGAAAAGGAAGTAATACATTTTAAATTTCAGAACAAAGGCTCTATCTGAAACCAACAACAAGCTCACAAGATTCAGTGACTAATTTTTATTATGTGGCTTCTTTTCTAAAAGAAAACAGAAACAAGTTTAATAAGAAATAATATAATTGTATCATTCTTAGAAATAACGAATAACCCAGCTGGCATTTAATTTAGAAAAAAAGTCTTTTATAAGTTGTTTAAAAGACGTTTAGAATGTTCTGAAAACGTTTACAAAACGTCTTTTTAGACCAAATGTTGGCTGAAAAGAGTGAAGGAAAATCCCCCTCCCCTCTTCTCTTTCTCGTTTTAAAAGGCGTTTATTATAACACACTGTTGTTTATTATGTTTTTATAACTTATTTAAGCATACTTTAGAAAAAATCAGAGCTCTGTTATATATATATATATATATCTTTTAAATAACATAAATGTTCATTTTTTAAAATAGTATCCAGTTTTTTGTTTTTTTTTGGGTAAACTATGCAGCTTAAAAAAAATGTTTTTTTTGAAAACTTGATGAGGCGAGGTAAAAAATAATTAAAAAAATAATAAAAATAAACGTTTTGAAAAAAAAAATTGTTTTATTTGTTAGTGAAACATTTTCTTGACATAACTTCTGAAAAACACTTTTTTTTTATTTTTATACGTTTTATCCATTTTTTATCCAATTTTGACTGAAAAACAACCTTTTCTAGATATCTCTGTGTTAACTGGTATAAAATATTAACAATTAAACTATTGTTTTAAGTAATCAAAACACGGTGTGCATAGCCCATGTCTAGATATTTCTTGTCTTGTGATAAGTTTTTTTTGTTTTTGTTTTTTTTTAATAAATTTCTTCAATAAGTTCGCCAAAGAATATTTAAAATATTTCAAAATATTATAAGATATTAAAAACAATACTTTTTTTTTTTTCAAATCACACTATGAAGCAAGTTAACCCCCTGCAGAACACCTGCAGTGTTTCAAACAAATATTTCTTTTTTAGTAACTATTTATTTGAAAAAATTAAATAGAAATGAAAATGAAATATAAATTTTATTTGATTACAATTTCATTTTCAAAAATATCATTTACCATAACTTATTTTATAAGAAAAACTTTTTTTTATCAAAATCAATTTTTTTTTTTTTTTCAGTTTAAAATATTGGTTACGTGTTGCAATATAAATAAATATTGAGAAAAATCTTTAGTAATAAATTTCAATATTTTTAAAATACTTGTTAAACATTTCATAAAACGTATCATGGTAATAAATTTCTATATAGAATTTGTTTTTGGAATAATTTTTCTTCCTTATTCAAACTCATTTTTGGATAAGAAATCAAAAATTATAATAATAAAAGATTCAAATTCTAATTTTTTTCAAAATAATATTGGAAAAACAGATTTAAGTGACTATGTGGATGTTAGCAATCTTTTTCAAAATGAAACCTACGAAAGTGAAAAGCTTATGGTATTCACATCGTACAATTATACGACATTGATAGAAATACTGTTACATTTGATTCTTGATCAATCATTTCAATTAACGTTTATTACCAGTCAACTGGCATTACTTACCGATGTTAATGAAGAGTTAACACCTATAATATCAAACATTATTGTACCGTATAAAAATGTTTTGCTTTTCGATTGTAATAGCAACAATTCTAAAATGAAATACGCTAGAAATTCGGTAGGATATTATTATAATTCTCATAAAGATTCATTTATTGAAATTGTTGCGAACTTTAATATCACAAAATATACTTTTGTAATTATTACTACAGATGTAAATGAAATAGAGAAGTATGACATTTTATCATCTATGAAGCAATATGTAAATAACACTGAGTTTTGTTTTGAAGAATATACTGTTCACTACGTAAATACAACCTATATGACTGCTATTGCAAAAAAGTTAGGTTCGTATGTTAGAAATATTTTTGTAATTTTTAACTCTGCAGATGGCTTTCTACGGTTTTTTGAGATATGCACAAAAAACAATGTAACGTTTGGTAGGGTGATTGGGAATACCATATCTGATAAGTTTATTGGAGATATATTAAAATATTTTTGGAGTCATTTGAAAATGGATACAGAATTTTACTTTTATACTCAAACTTTAAACTCTTTGAAAAATGTAGCGTCAAACGACATTATCAGTTTGATAAGCTTAGTCTACAAGGGAACAGAATACAGTAATTTTATAGAATCTTACTTTAAATTTTATAAAGAGTTGTATTTAAATAAAAAACTATACTTTTTGTGCATTGTCCCCAACCGTTCTAGTAACTTCCCTAGTTACTATGGGTGTATTTTTCAAATGAAAAGTCAGTTTGATTATGAAGCTAGTGTTACAAAAAAGCAACAACTAACCAAATGTAATATGATTTGCCCACCCGCTTTTGAACAAAAACTTTTACTTATGATATCAAATGAAGAAAAAATGCAAAGTCGTATTTGCACCAGTTGCCAATTAAGTTATTTTAAAAGAAGTTACGGAACACACAAATGTGAAAAATGTCCTTTAGGTTATACTTCAAATAGAATTAACACAGCCTGCTTACTAACATTTGGTGTGGATTTAACTTTTCAATGCATTGAAGGCATTATAATTACTCTAATAGCTGCTTTTTCTACCATGATTGGTTTAATTATAGCTGTAACATTTATATTGAATAGAAATACACCTGTTGTAAAATCATCAAACTTTATATTGTCATTGACTCAAATATTATGTTATATGTTAACTTCGCTTCTTTTACCACTTTTCTACGTCTCCAACAAGGAGTTGTTTTGTTATTGGCGAAGTTTTATAATTAGCTTCCTACTTATTACTGCAACATCAATTACTTACATCAAAACGAGGAAGTATATTTATATTTTTAAAACTCTCATTCGTTTTTCTAAGAAAGAAAAAATATTTTCCACATCAATTGATATTATGATAATGAGTTTCATTTTGATCGTGCAAATTTTGTTAGCAACCATTTTACTTGTTAAATCGCCGCCAGTTGTCATCTCATATTTAAACTACGAGAAAAAAACTATAACATTTCAATGTACTGGAGATTCTCAATTGAACCCTCAAGTTATATATATTGGTTTTATGTTGCTGATTTGTTCTATTCAAAGTTTTTATGCTCGAAATCTTCCCTCTTACTATAACGAGACACTTTCTATTACTTACAGTACAGGAATATCATTCTTATTGTTAATTTGTTACTTTCCTCTTTACTATGGTAACAAGGACATCAAATCGAGAACCACGGCTATTTCAATTTTGATTCTAACAATTAACTTAATTTTATTGACAGTATTGTTTACACCAAAAATAATTGTAATTTATTTTAAACCTGAAATCAACAGCAAGCGTAGTGTTCATATGGAAATGATGAAATATGCTCAATCAAATTCTGCAAATTCTTTATAACAAAATCTTTATTAACAAATATTTAACAATTTCTAAAATTAAAACAAAAGTATTTTTTATTTTTAGTTTAGTTGTATTGATAATTTAAATTTTAAAGTTTTTTTAAAAACTTAAGTCATTTGTATCAGCATTGATATTTAAAAAAATGAAAATTGAAAGTAAAGTTACCTATTGATAACTGATCAGCTTTTTAATGAAACTACCCACATAACACATAGGCGTTGGGCCAACATCAGCGCGACATCTAAAATAAATACAATAAAGTTACAATAAAGCTAATTTTTTACATATTTTTAATGGACTACTGCTCATCATGGTGTATTTGCAGAAATCAATATTAGATCAGTATCTTTTTATTTCATCAGGCCGACCTTGGCCCGATAAAGTAAAAAGTATTTTATAAAACTTAGTAAGCTTTTTTTTTAAATATACTTTGTATATAAGTATATACTTTGCTATACATAAAAATATAAGAATAAATTACAAAAAAACGTTTGAAATTTTTTTTTAAATGTTACAAACAACACGAAATTTTTAAAATGGTATATAAGTAGTATTTGCAAGCAGTCTAATGACTTTTTTAAGCCTTGAATGACTTGAACCTTATGGGAAATTTTAGATATTTCTGGACAGTTCTAAATGTTTTTAAAAATCTTTCAAACTTTCTGGAATTTTCGGGAGTCTTTATGAAGTTTATGGGAACTAGCAAGATTTAAACTGTAAAAGCTACCTGGTTGAGCAACGCAAGCATTTATTTATGAATTTGTATTCGCCAGATGGAAGTTAAATAATATAGAAGTGCCACAGTAGTTATATTTACTATTATTGGTTTTCAAAAATATATTCAAGTATAATCTTTAATCAAAAACCCTATAAAGAAGTACTTTCCATAACTTTCCAAAACAAGACAATCTGGGTATAAAATGTCATTCGTTTTTTCGAGTACCATCGGAAAAAAAACCTGTTCCATTAGATAAACAATCACTAAAATATAAAAGCAGGGTACCACTTAAAATCCGAATTATTGTCGTTATTCTTTTCTCGGACAACCCATCAAAAGGAGACGATAGCGCATAATACACTCTCGAAAGCGCATATAGAAAACTGAGAAAAAAGTAACAAGTTTATGGCAAAAGAAATTAAGTTTTGAACATTTATAAATTCAAGTTATACAGGCAAAACTGGATCAAGTGCTGAAGACGTACGATAAATGTGTGAAACAAAAACAAAAACGCCAACTTCTCCGAAGCTGTCATAATAAGCATTTGAATTAACACATTGAGCAAGTATTGGATTTTAGTTTGCAAATTGCAATTATTGAGGACCTTGTTTTTTTTTTTTTTTTGGTATCTCTAGTTGGCAAAAAATACATAGAGCCACCCATGGGACACCTCTTCGTGACGACCCTCTATATATATACATTTATATATATAGATATATACATTTATATCTCTCTATATATATACATTTATATATGGACAAAACATATATATACATATATATGTGGGCAATTCCATTTTTGACTTACGTTACATGTGCAAACTTTTTTTCTATTTGGTTTGAAAGCTGCCTAGCTAACACAAAATGTTCAAGAACGTACTCAAACGTTCGCTACGTTCTTTAAACGTACCTGAACGTTTTGTGTGAGCTGGGTTAGTCTAAAGAATAAAATAGGTTAAAAGGTTTTGAGTCTGGCCAGAAGAAGGCAAACTTCTTGCTGAAAAAGCCACTTAACTTACAATACACGTAAAACAAGGTAAAAAAATTGCTGGTCAGAATTCTACAAATCAATAAAGCTGTTTGTATTAGAAACTTCACAAGATGTTAAGAATTCTATGCTAATTTAAAAAATACATAAAATTTTATCAGAGGTGACCGTCTAATGAAAATAAACATGTTTTTTTGATACTATATATTTAATTTACGTTATTAATATTTATCATGGATTTTTTTATATCTATTATTCAGATATAGAGTTACAGTTACGTAACAAAAGTATTGAACTCATTCATTAAAAATTATTAACAAAAAGAAATTTTAAAAAACTGGTGGCACTCTTCCAGAGTTATTTTTCATAACATTTATGAAAGTTATCAAATCGAGAAAACATGAAAGAAATCAAATCAAAAAAAAATTAAATTAAATAAAATATAGTTTTTATTTTATTTTTACAGTTTCTTTTAAATTTATATTTTTCTGTGAAGCCTCCAAAACTGTGGGGCCAAGGGCTATAGCACTGGCAATGTAATTCCATAATAAAATATGCAAAGGTTTCTTAAAATTTAAAAAGTTTAAAAAAATACAAATCTACTAAACAAAATCCACATTTTTAAATCAATAACAGATTTAGATAATTATTTTAAAAATGTTATTATAAGAAAACTTTTACCACTGTTAAATATACCCTTAAAGTTTAATGATTAAATTTTGGATGTTGGAATAAAACGTCGCATAGATACAATTTTAGGTTCTCTAGCTTAGACGCAATTCTATTGAAGTAAGAACCCGTAAAACATCAACTATCAAATACTTACCAATGATAGCTAATAATACAAAACTATAGAGGCAGCTACCAGATTTGATATAAAGTATATTCAAATAATACAAACAAATCTTTTAAAAACAAACCTTACAAACCTTGAGATTTTTATTTATAAATAAAGGTTACTTGCAGGTAACACATTATGAGTAATTGAACCAGATGAAAAAGATGGTGCTTAAAACTTCTAAATTTTAGCACCAACCATCAACTGTATAATTCAAATAAAATATACCTGAATAATAAAAAATATATATAGCTGGGATTTTCTGCTAGGCATCAAGCTTTAGGCAACATCAATCAGTTGTATTTTTTGTGGAAAAAATTTTGCTTATATTATAATTGACATCATGCAAAATCTATATTAAAAATATGTTTCCATATACAAGCATCACAACAGCAATATTACAAAACTATACTAGCAGTTTGTAATTTACTAAAACAAGCATTTCTTCTTATAATATATGAAAAATATGTATCTATATAAAAAGTATATATGTTTAAATATACAAACATCACAGGAGCAATACTACAAATCTATGCTAGTAGTTTGTAATTCACTAAGCCAAGCATATGTTTTTACAATATATTTTACAATATTATTTTTAATAAAAAAGAGAAAAACAGTTATTGGTTACTTTTTGCAAATTCATAAAAATGCAGATAAAGCAACAAATTATATTCACTGATGACAGTTTCTTGATTTATTGTATAATAGCGTGAAGTAAATAAAGCAGTGCAACGATTAACAGCTTTCTGAATAGGTACAAGTATATCTAATTTCGAGCTTTTGATGTATGTTTCTGAACAGAAATTTTGCTTAAGATGAATGCATATTTTTTTAATACAAAAACCATAAAAATCTACTTCATAAGAAATTTTGCATAAGATAAATGTAGGCATTCTTTATACAAAAATATATAAAATCTACTTCGTAAGACAAATTCTTTCATACTATGAAACCACATCGTTTTGCTCTAAAACAACTCGTATATTATAACAAATGTTAGACATTAACAACCTAATGAAAATAAGGCAATACGCATAAACGTTGTTGCCTTGTTTTCATTAGGTTGAATTTTAAAATGCTGCAAAGTATTTACATTTAAATCTTTTACAAACAATTTGTTTACTAAAACAAAAATAAAAAATATTCTAACTGATTTTTTTTTTAAATTAGGAGAATAGCAAATAAATATTTTATTTTTTTTAATGTCTAAATACAAATACTTATTTAATTCTTATTTATATTTACTTATGTGTATTTATTAGACAACTATAATAAAAATACATAAACAAATAAAAAAGAAATAACATTAATAATTTTAATTAACATAAAAAAAAAAAAATTCTAAATATAAAAAGTTCCAGGTAGAATCTTGTAATTTTATCAAAGACTTCAAGAATTTTTTCAAAGAGGTGTTGTAGAGATATGAGGCCACATACTGTGCACGACGGTACAGCGAATATGATGGAAACCTCTAGACTTTTAGGCTCAAAGGATCCACTTCATTGTCTGGCTCATGTCTTACATTTAATATTGACATGTGATAGCATAAATAATTGTGCTGAAATAAAATGTTTGTTTGAAAGATACAGACGAATTGTAACCAGCCTGAACTTCAAGTCAACTTTACTTTCAGAGGAATCACATTGTGAAGCAGACATAAAATTATACAACAAACTTCGGATTCTTGCTGAAGTGAAAGACATTGATGATTTAGAGCAGCTATTGCCCATTCAAATTCATGATGAAGCAAACAACTTAGATATTGCTAAAATTTTGTAAAGAAAAAATTTCAGAAAAAGACAGCATAGAAGTTTGAAGCAGCAACTACACACAAGATGGAACAGTGCTCCTTTTATGGTAGAATCAATTAACCAATTATTAGATCCTACTTTAGCGACAAAAGTTTCTTCACCTCTTAAAGTAGCGACAGCTACTTTAAGAGGTGAAAAATTGTTATTTCTGCAGAAAAAAATTGTTATTTCTGCAGAAAAAAATTATCAAATTGATTCGGAAGTAGAGCAATTTATCTCTCATACACCTACGTCAGATGAAAAACTGGATTGTTTATTGTCTTGGCGCAATCATAAAGCAAAGTATCCATACTTAGCAGTGCTTGCAAAAGAGTATTTTAGCATACCAACCTCGAGTCTATCAGTGGAGTCCATGTTTTCATGAACTAAATTGGTTTTGAACTCAAAAAGAAGCCATTTAAGTTCTTCCAACATGAACATGACTATATCTATTCATGATAATATCAGTGTTATTGGATTTTTAATTGTAATTGAAAAAAAAAAAAGATTTTTCACAACTTAAAAAAATGTATACATCTGACACGGCATGTTGCGTTTTAATTACATAAAACAAATAATTTAGTTGTTAAAATTCTGTAGCTTGTCGACTTTCATCTGATCTTATTATATCTTGCTTTATGTTAAAGAGGTAATCTTTATA